TAGATGAAGGAGAGCCCAACATGTAACTCTCCACACATTACTTCAGTAGCTTTTGCCAGGAGTTGAAGTACCGGAATCAGCAGTTCAATTACCTCCCACTGCGATGCTCTCATAGCAAGTGACTTCTGGACATTTGGCTTTGTGACGTTTTCATCAGCAAGTACAGACTGCACCGCAATCATCTGCTCAAACTCTGCTGAAGCATGACGACGGTGGAGTTCCAACGAACTGGACAATCAATCTGGAGTTTGTTGGCTTTAGCTCCCAGTTGTTTCTGCCGTTTCTTCAGAGCACAAGTTGCAACTGATGAATGCCAAAAGTGGCTGACAACTCTTCGTGCTGCATCTACAGCTTTCACAACATCAGGTAGGATTAACACAGCTTTTATTGCCAGCTGCAGTGTGTGCGCAGTGCAACCCAGATCATTTGGAAACTTTTCACATAACTTCATGGCTAGATTCATACTGCTCGCATTATCATGGACTGTGCAAAACATGTTTATTCCCCATTCCTGGATAATGTTAGACAGACGATCAGCGATGTTGGCAGTGGTATGTCTTTCTACCATAGCAGATGTACACAGCACCTGGGCCTTCAGCTCCCATGACTCAGTGATGTAATGAGCGGTTGCTGTAATATATGGATCCATAGTGGAGGATGTCCACAGATCTGTTGTTAGTGACACACTCTGATCTTTCATTTCGTTTGCAATCTTTTCACGGAGGTTGTCATACTGGTGTTTAATAGTGCTCCACATTCAAAAAACTGTATCAAATCTCTGAAACCTTCTCTGTGTCATTACACCAAAACTGTTTTCCTTTTCGTTTATCTTTGAACGGTGGCCTCAGGCTAACCTTTTCATTAATTGAGTAGGATGTGCTAACAGAAAACGGAACAGATGAATTCAGCCTATTTGAATGAAAAACTCCATTTTTTGAGAAAGGTTTTTTATTTTTCACTTTAAAAACCCTGTTCATCTCAGCAGACACACACCCCTCAAAACATCTCTGCTGCTGGCGCTGGAGCCTTCTCTGTTCTCGCCAGCCGCCAGGTGTCCGAGCAGGGCGGGAAAACGCTTGGGGTAGGGTCACATGACTCCGTACCTGTTCCAGGGCGTCGGATGAGGACTGCAGTTGGTTCAGGACCGACTGAAAATGAGGTCCGAAGAGGCCATCTGAGGACACAGGACCTTCCAGGAGTTCTTTTTTAACATCTTCTGGGATGGACGGAGACGGTTTCAACCACATCTGTCTCTGCAGCAACGTTGCCCAGGATGAGATGCGGGCGAAGCACACTGCAAGCACCGCACACAGGTTGGTGATCGTGTCCGCAGCCGTGTTGATCGGGTCCAAATCTGCGGAGGACGGGTTTGGTTCCTTCGTCTCTTTAGCTATGCTAAGGGCTAACATAGCGATGTTGTTGGTTGCTGCTCCCACCTGCGATGAGCACTGATGGATTCTGTCAGTCAGCTTTGCGGTGAGCTGGTCACCGGAGGATGGCGGGGTGATACGTCGGCCAACGTATTTCACTGCTCTCACCTCGAAAACAGCCGACAAACTGGGTTCTAGGGGAGGGAAGGTGGGAAAACCCTGGTCTGTGAGCCCTTTGGCTTTGGTGATGGCTGCGTAGGAGGTGACCGGAGCCCTCAGTTTTAAGGGATTTTTGGCTGAACCCAGGAGGAGGGCAGACACAGCCAGAAAACAGGGCCAGACCGGGTCCCGGTGTCCAATGTGCTGGGCGGCAAACCTTCCAGCCAGAAAGGTCGATGTGGCCGGGGTCGCCGGTTTGGGCACTTCCAGGTCGCGGGCTCTCGCTGACCTCCCGATTATCTCCGGGAGCTCATGGAGCAGAGTGGTGCACGACCCCTGGGGGCTCAAGGGCAACACCAGCTCCAAACCTCCTGTAAGGCAGGATGGAGCGCGGCTGCTAGCTGTTTCAGCTTCAGAGGGGGACGTGTTTGAGAACTCCGTGTCCAGGGAGTTAAAAAATTCCTCAAGCGAACAGTCCCCCCTCAGTTGAAACTCAACCTCCTCAGAGGAGAAGAGCTCACACTGGCGTTGCTTCTCCTCAGCCGAAAAAAGTTTACAGGCTGGACAAGAGAAGAGCGGATCCAAAGCTTGCCAAGCGTGGTCAGCTCCCAGGCAGCTTTCACAAACGACGTGCTGGTCCGTCGATAAGCTGTAGCCTGTCTGGCACGCGGAGCACAGACGGATGGTCTTCGATTTCTTAATTGAAGTCATCATTCTTCAACTTTTCTTTCTATTATTGTTTCGTAGAAGTAGTGTTCTTAGCGTTGGCTGAAGAAAAACGGGAGTTGAGCTCCGGTCCAGTTGCAATTTATAACGAAACGGGTGGGGTCCACACAGCAGGTGGGCGTGGACTAGAAGTTTTCAGTGTTTGGCGCGTGGGTAAAACCAATAGCGACAGCTTTTAAAGGGCGTAGCTTACACAAAATAGAACTATATCTTGGCTACAAGCATCAAGCTGCAAAATCCTTCGTTTTCTACAGCTTATAGCGAATGGTCGTTAATTATCATGAAGTTTGGCAACTTCCCGGTAAACATTTGAGCTTTGTGGCTTCAGCGGTGTGTTTGTCTCGTTTAGACTGAAGCAGGCAGTTTGATTTCGGTCAGCTGCGCTCGATCTGCCCTTCGTCCGAGACGGGCAGACTGAGCAGGGCGGATTGGGTGCGGCTGGCCGGGGTCGGGCTGCCTGCTTCGGGTTGAGCGAAAGGAGTGAACCGCTGAAGCCACAGAGCTCGAATGTCCAAAGTAAAACTAACTTTACTGCGGTTTAATGTGGTACTTTGGCTCTGCAGACATTGCACGTTGCTGTCTTGCTTTGTGGTGTTTCTAGTGTAAAATACTTCCACACAGCGGACATGTTTCGATGAAAAGTTGGTTAGCTGTTAGCCACAGTGCTGCTAACTCAGTCCTCACCTTGTAGCTGGCTGCAAACTATGAAATGGATTTCCTGAATGTGGGGTGGGTCTCATTACTCTGGGTTCATGAGACACGCCTCCATTCAGGAAATCTATTCCATAGTTTGAAGCCAACGTGCAGAGCAGCTGTCAGGGAATCACATGAGAAGTTTCATCAGACACAGACATGCATCATGGGTCGGAAATCTCTGCAGGTTGGATCGGAATAATCCGATACGTAAATTATGCTGGTATCGATACTGGATCGGCCCCATCCCTAGTAAATAGCTTAATGGAGTGCTGCCGACACCAGCTGGTAAGGCGAGTTGGATTCTGGACCCCGCCTACAGAACCGGTACTGAAGTGCATATGGAAAAGTAACGTGTGCCGAGCTGCATCGTACCAAGCCGAGTCAAAAGGAGCTGAAAAACGGCTATGGAATAGGGGCATAAGGCATTTCCAGTCAGTTGGACATGTCCAGAACACTTCCCTCAAGAGACATCAAGATGGCATTACCAGATGCTTGAATCACCTCAACTGGCCTCTTTCAATGTGGAGGAGCAGCAGCTCTACGGAATAACTGAACTTCTCACCCTGTCTTAGGGAGAGTCCATGATCCTGGTCTTTCAGTCTCCGTCTAGAGTTTGTGACTGTCAGTGAGTGCAGGAACGTAGACCGAACAGCTCAGCTCCCTCTTCACCACAACAAACCGGCAGTGTTTGCAGTACTACGGAAGCGGCCCTGATCAGTCTGTGAATCTCACGCTCCATTCTTCTCTGACATTTAATGAAAACCACATTTTGTAACAAAACCAGTTGGACTGCATTATAATTAGATTAGGTGGAACTAGATTTGAATCTGGATCAGAATTAGATGGATGTTTTTCCATTCATAAAACCAAAACTTACAGCTTAACATATGATTTCAACCTCAGCTGCTGGAGGGCAAAATCCTAAAACAAGTTCATCACAGAGTAGATTTTGGGACACAAAACATCTTCTAAAGTGCACCTATGTTCAATTTGTCATTTCACTGAAATACTTCAGCACATACCTAAATGTATCACACACAATACTGGGGGGGGGGGGAGGCTGTACGTTTTTGCTACATGAAAAACCAGCAATTCTATGGTAATTTACACCAGCTTATAAAATATTTCTAAAAAATTTCAAAAACATGCATTCAGAAAAAGAAGCATACAGTGTTTATGCACAGTAGTTTTATATTTGTATCAACAAATGGCTCATGCATTGAACCAGATAACTATACAACCCTAGGTCAGAAAAAGTTGTTGGGATACATTAAAAATACAAAAGCATAAAAACTCCAACAATCGTTTTGGCATCTGTTTCATTACAAATAGCATGAAGTCTTGATGCTTCATGCTGCATTTCATAAGCTTGATTTAATTTGCCAAAACACATTTGTTCCTGCATTTTAGGTCTGCAACACATTACAAAAGATGTGAGACCAAGATAATTTGAGGCTTAAAACAAGGTTCTTTTTTCTTTCAAACATTAACTGAAAACAGTATTTGTTTCAAAAGCAGCATTAATTCAGGCAGAGAATACAATACCTTCAGATTGTCACTCATTTATCAGCAGCTAATTAATGACTTTTGGAAACTTTAATAGTGTTGCAAAACTTTAAAACTTCAATGTTCCAGATTCTTTTAGGAAGAAATTAATGCTCTGAAACAAATGCAAAGTAAGCATTCAGATGGTCTTTAACGAGAAGTACAATATCAGATTCTGTGATTGTATGGGTTTGGGATAGAGCGCCAGCCAAAGCTCATTTCCACGTTTGTGATGGTATGAAGAAAAGTCCAGCAAAGATTTTAGAGCAACATTTTCTACCTTAAATACATAGAGTAATCTTTTAAATTCTAACAAGTTAATGTAAAACCACACCCTGAAGTAGCCAAGACAGATACTGCAGACCACTACCCCTTGCCTTAACCAGCACGAGCTTCACTGATACCGAACGGTAGTTCTGGGTTTATTCAAACCTACATCATAAATGTCTGAAGTTACTTTGGTTTGTATTGATACAAAATACATTTGGAATATTGTATTTCCCCTGCTTCAAAATGTATTAATCAAACATACAGTTTGTATTCAGACAAACTGTACACAAAGAATGTCAGCAAATGTTTTAATTTGGAATATTTAGAAGGAGAAAATGTAAAACTTTAGAATACAGTACATTTTCACTAATTCACAGCCTCTATTTCCCCTAAGCCTGACAAAAACCTGTTACGTCACAGTGTGAACAAGTAAACAGATTAGCACGGGACTTTATGGACTCAGTTCAGCCGTCAGCTCTGACTGACAGATATTGTCAGCACTGATCACATCGTCGAGCAGATTTTGGGAGAGCTGGTTTCTGCGTTTGCCTTCTGCCGGATGGACTCTGAATAATTAACAAAAGCAACAAAAAAGTGATTACTCCAGCCATTGAGCAGACGAGAGGACACAAAAAAAACCCACAACCACACACAGTTGGTTTTTGCATAGAGCCTAACCACACCCTTACTTTTCAACTAATAACCTGAAAAATAAGTTCCAGCTCAACTCACCTGCCAAGTCAGTCCTGCAGATTTCCACCATGCCTTCGTAGAGACCTTTGATGGGGTTCTCTCCTGCCATCACCACTCCATGAAGCCAGATTAACAGCATGCGGTGGCCGTGCTCCTTGAAGCTTTTCACGCCTGTTCAAAATTAACAGGTGCAACAGTTACATTCAATTGTCAACGTCAATTAAAGGGGCAAGAACCTCGTGCTGGCTTCTTGTTACTCAAACACACAATCTTTAACCTTTTCTATATAAACAGTCTAAATCCTGCAACAGCACAGCTCACCTGTCCACTGCTGCTCTATAGCTCGAATGTGTGCGTCGCTGAAGCCCCAGTGTTGAGCCAGAAGCTTCCATTCTCCACGACAGAGGTGCTTGGTGGCCAGGCTCCACAGGACCGAGCGGAGGTGCTGGGTTTCAGGATCATGGTCCTGTTTGAAGCTCAGAGGTCTGCACACAGAGGATTCCTGTTTTCTGCCTGCGTCATCCTGAATTCAACATAGACAGCTGACTTTTAGATTAAAGTACAGTAGTCGCTCGTTTATCACAGGGGATCTGTACCCTGAAGCCCCGCGATACGTGAAAAACCGCAAAGTGGAGCACAGAATGTCTTGATTTCAGCTCTCTGCCTCCTCTGCTCTTTGCTACCTGCAAGCACTCTTGGCCACGCCCACTTCTCTGCTCAGCACTGAGAACAGCTGATCAGCTGCAGCAAGAAGTTTATCCTGCAGTGTGGGCTGCACAAATGCGCAGCAGGTGCTAAATAATTTAAAAATGATTTATTTTAAATAAAAATTTCATGCCGATCGTGCAGCTCATCCATCAATCAGCCAATTGTGTGTCATGTCCACTCTTATTTTGAAAAACCACGATAGAGCAAGTTCACTTTATAGGAAATACTGTAATGTTAAACCGTAATGTTCATGGCTCTAAATGTTCCTTGAAGTTCTTGCAGTCAGAATATAACTCTTGGGTTCATTGAGCTCAGTGAATCAACAGTGGACACATATTACTCTTAGTGCTTAGTGTATTTTTAGTTGTTCTTAGTTCATAGCTTAGATGTTATCATTGTTTCTCTTTTACATTTTTATTGTTGGATATAACTGGGACCCTGTGTACATAATTTTGCTCCACCCGCGAACGACAATAAAGAATCTCTGACTCTGATATTATGCTCTGTCAAATTATTAAAGCCATTTTATTATTTTATTGTGTTACAATCTAGAATTAAAGTGGTTATGTTTTGAGACCTACTTAGAGGACAAAAACATCCTACAGACAAGTCAGGGAACATTTTATGGAGAAGTACAGGTTAGTGTCAAATAATAAAAAAGTGGGGACCCTTATTATCTGATAGAGCAGCATTAAATTAATTTTTAAGAAACTAAAAGACAAACGCATCAAAGCGAAGCTGCCTAGAAGTGGTAGAAAACCAAAAACCAGAGAGCATACACTGAGGTAACATTGAGGCCAACAGTTGTACAAAACTCCACAACAGGGTGATGTGTAGGCCCAATGGACTGTGAGGAAGAGTGGAAGTGAAAAAGCCTTCTTCAAAAAAATAAATTAATAAAAAAAATCAGCATATTTGAAGTTCATCAGTAAGCCTTAGGCAGACTCCAGAGGTAAAAACACTACATGTGCAAAATCCCAATCTCATCATGGAACGGCACAGCGGAGGCAGTATAATGATGTGAACGTGTTTTTTAGTTTAATAGGAGAAGACAAAAGTTTATTGCTAATCTGTTAAATAACTGTCCTCCATTTGAATCTCTGTGACTCCGCCCACACTCACCTTCTCCCATTTATAAAATCGGTCAGCTTTGATGATCATGTCCACCAGGATGATGTGGTTCGCTCTTGCTGCAACTTCCAGACTCGTCTTCCCCTGCTGTGAAAATTAAGTCAGAAAAACACTTTATGTTGAACAAGCAGAAAAGTTGTGACAGAATTAAAAATAATAATCTTTATAGCAGAGAAAACTGAATGGCTGGATTTTAAATTAAACTCCTACAATATTGGAAGTGTTTTGTGTTTCTGCACTGGGACTTTAGAGACTTGTTGTGAACTGATTTGATCCAAAATTTAAAAAACCTTGTTTTGTAAAATGGCGACATCTAGTGGCCAAAATGGTAAAAAGCAGCTTGAACTCCAATCTGAAATGAATTAAAAAATAAATAAATAAATAAATAGTTGAAAACAAAACAACTGGACGTTCAGCCTTTCAGAACAACTAAGCTTTATAACTTGAATCCCACACTTCTTGTTTCTTTGAATTGAGGAAGCTCCTCGGATGAGAAGCGAAACGCTGAATTGTTTTGATACATGTGCTGGAGTTTCAGCTTGAAACAGCTCATCACAAGTCACAGGTAAAATTGGAGATGTGGTACCTTGTCAGTCAGATTGAGGTTAACGCCACAAATCAGCATCCTCTCAGCCAGGTCCTGCCAGCCGTTCTCTGCTGCGATGTGCAGTGCAGTCTGCTGCCTCTGTGAGCCACAACACACTCAGGGTTACTGACATGTTTCTTACTCACAGGGTTAGTTGGGATTTATTACAGGAGTTTTTGTTTCAGCCTTTCTGCTCTGTGTTGTAAATCAGCTCATACTCACACGGTCAGGCACATCCAGGTCACACTCAGCATCTACAAGCAGCCGAACAAGCTGTGAGTGGTTGTTGAACACAGCCAGGTGGAGCGCCGTCACATGTTGCTTTAGTCAAAACAAAATGCTGACGTTACAAGAGGCCATAACAAAACATACATGCCCCAATGGCTTCAAATTGTTTCTGTTTCCTCTAAATTATAAGCAATTTTAATATTGTGCTCTGTTTGTTCAGAATTTAGTAAACAGGTGCAATAAATGCTGTAAATCTGAACCTACAAAGGCATGTAATTTCACATTTTAGAAGCCACAACAGCTAAAACAGCCCCTTATTTTCAGGCACGCTCAGGAGCAGCTGAACAGCTATAAAGGTGTAAAGCTGCAGAGAAGTACAGCTGGACAAGAACACAAAGGGCTTTCTAAGAAAATAAAGAAATTATGATACGAGTACAGTAGTCCCTCATTTATCACTTGGGGTTCTGTTCTCAGCCCCCCCCCCCCCCCCCCACGATAAGTGAAAAACCACGAAGTAGGAACACAGTAGTCCCTTGCTACTTCATGGTTCGTTTATTGCGGACTTGCTCTATCGCAGTTTTTCAAAATAAAACTGGACATGACACACAATTGTCTGTTTGAAGAATGAGCCGCACGATCAGCATGGAAGTTTTATTTAAAATAAATTATTTTAAATTATTTAGCACCTACTGCATCTTTGTGCAGCCCACACTGCAGGATAGACTTCCTCCTACAGCTCCGCTGTGCAGAGCGAGGAAGTGGGCGTGGCCAAGAGTGCTTGCAGGTGGCAAAGAGCAGCAGAGGCAGGGAGCTGAGATCATGACATGCTGTGCTCTTTTACAGCGTTTAGAGCTTAGAAACATTGTTCAGAATATTGCAAGAGCGTGGGAAGGGTTTAAAACACCTTTATATATATATATATATTTAAATTTTTTTAAAAGTTTGTGATTTATATATAATATATATATATATATTTGTTGCACCGCCCTATAAGTCGCATCTGTCCAAATATGTCTAATAATTTTGAAAAATCTATTTATACGTCACTTCGCCGTATCACCGCTGACGTGACGCATTTGTTACGTGCCACAGTTGACAGCCCGGAAATGTGGGCCGGTGTTGTGCCTAAAATTGCTTTGTTGCTAAAATGACAGCCGCTCAGGAGGACTTTAACCAGATTAACACTTATAATAAATTATTTGTTTGCTCATCATTATAGTAAAGGTGTGTCTCAGTTGAATTATTCCTTAAAAAATGCACTTTAAGATAAGATCTTTATTGATCCTGCAGGAAATTATTGTGCCAGAGTTTCAGTACAAAGGAACGTAAACAAGACTCACAAGATATAAACATAACATAATATTAAAAAAAAATAAATAAATAGCAAGAGAATATAAAAGTGCCAACAATTAAGTTCTAAACAGGTGCAGACAGAAACATTAAAGTGTTTATTGTGGTGCATGATTCATTTTATTATCCTATGTGTAGAAAGGGGGAGGAGTTAAAAAGTTTGAAGGACTTCCTGTGGCGTTCTGTGGAGCACCTCGGTGGTCTCAGTCTACGACTGAAGGTGCTGCAGTAAGAGTCCTGGGTGTCATGCAGGGGGTGTGACGTGTCGTTCAGGATCTGGATCAGTTTCCTCAGCATCCTCTGCTCAGACACCTCTGTCAGAGACTGCAGGTCCACTCCCAGAACTGAACCAGCTCTCTTGATGAGTTTATCAAGTCTGTTGGCATCAGCTTTATTCACCCTGCTGCCCCAGCACACCACAGTGTAGAAGATGCTGGAGACCACTGAGTGGTAAAACATCTGCAGCATGGTCCTGCAGATGTTAAAGGACCTGAATCTCCTCAGAAGAAAAAGGCGACTCTGGCCTTTCTCATACAGGGCATTGGTGTTAGCTGTCCAGTCCAGTTTATTGTCTAAGTGGACCCCCAGATACTTGTAGCAGTCCACAGTGTCTACCTGTACCCTTGATGTTGATGGGGGGGGGGGGGGGGGTGATATTCTTCCTGTAGTCCACCTGCAGCTCTTTAGTTTTTCCAACGTTGAGTTGCAGTGGTTCTGTCCACCACACCTCTGTATTCAGCTTCCTGGTCACAAGTGATGCAGCCCACAATGGCAGAGTCATCAGAGAACTTCTGCAGATGCAGGATTGTGAGTTGTACCTGAAGTCTGAGGTGTAGAGGGTGAACAGAAAAGGTTAAAGGACCGTCCCCTGAGGAGCCCCTGTGCTGCTCAGTATAGTGTCCGAGGTGTTCTGCAGCCTCACATACTGTAGCCGACTTGTGAGGTAGTCTCCGATCCAGGTGACCAGTGAGTCGTTCACCTGCATGTCCCGGAGCTTACTGCAGAGTAGAGCAGGTCTTATGGTGTTAAAAACACTGGAAAAGTCAAAGACCATGACTCTTACTCTGCTGCCTGCCCTGTCCAGGTGCATGCAGGCTCTGTGCAGCAGGTAGATGATGGCGTCATCAACTCCAATGCGTGGCTGGTATGCAAACTGGAGGGGGTCCAGGTATGATTCCACCACAGATCTGACGTGCTTCAGGACCAGCCTCTCCAGCAACTTCGTGGCATGTGATGTCAATGTTAATGGTCAAAACATGGCGAAATGAAGCGGCTTTAACATTACAAGCCCACCCAGCCATAAATAATAAAAGAAACACCAGTTTATTTGTTTTTTTGTTTTGTTTTTTCATTTGAATCCTTCAAATTCTTTGTCCTCTGTGTCACTGGCAAAGAGTTCTGCTAACTCCTGAGGGAGATGAAGCGGTGCCTCGTCCTCCTCTTCCTCCCCGGGGCTGTCAGAGTCCTCAGCTCCAGCTGATATTCCAGCCTTCCTGAACCCCGACTGGATCGTCTCTTTGCTCACTGAGGTCCACGCTTTGTCAATCCAGCCGAGGACCTGTTGGAATGTGGCGTGGTGCATCCGATCGGTGGCAGTGAAGCTGTGCTCTCCGCTCACCATCCACTCCTCTCACAGGCGACGCAGGGCAGCTTTAAAGTTCCGGTTAACAGAGATGTCAAGAGGCTGGAGGATTTTTGTAAACCTTCCAGGGATAATGGCAGGTAAGAAGTTACAAGTTTTTGTTTTGTCTTTAAACTGGGGCGTAATGTGTGTGCGCATACTGTCCATGATGAGCAGAGATTTGTGTGTCTTAAAAAATCTGTCGGGCCGTTTGGTGTAACATCTGGACTGTCACACACCCATCATCGCCTGGTCCATCCACTCCTTCTGATTTATGGCCACCGGTACGCGGTAGGGGAACTTCTCCTTTGGCATTGTTTTTCTTTTAAATATTACCATGGGTGGCAGCTTGGATCCATCACCGCAGCACGCCAGCACCACAGTGAAATGGGACTTCTCGTGCCCCGTGGTGAGGATGTTCACTGATTTCTCTCCTTTCTCCGCCACACTCCGTCGCATGGGAATGTTGAAAGTCAACAGAACTTCGTCCATATTGATCAGGTGGTCAGGAGAGATGTTGTGCTCGTCTACCTGCCTCTTCACAAAGGCGCGGAAACTCTCCACTTTCTCTGTGAAGTCCACAGGCAGCTTCTGGCACAAGGTCGTCTGCGCTGTGACGGACAGATGGTGCCGACGCATGAAGCGGAAACACCAGGACGGTCCTCCAATGAACTCAACGATGTCTATCTCCTTAGCTACAGCCATCGCATGGAGACCGAGCTGCACCATCGACAGCCCTCTGCCAGCGGCACGTTTCTGCACCACCCAAGTCTTCACCCTCTCCTCCATAGCTGGCCATCTCGCCTTGCACCCACGAGTCGCCCTCTTAGATCTTTTCAGGGCCGTTAACGTGACCGCTGCCTTCCTTCAATTCCGAGCCAACTTCTCAATCAACCCGAAGTGGTGATCAGCTGCCAGGTTTCCATGTTCGGCAGCGGACTTTATAACCTGCAGCTTGAAATCTGCAGAGAAGGACTTCCTCTTTAGTGGCATTTTTTTCTGTTTGATAAATAATATTTGATGACTGAACCAGTATGTTGTCTCTCTTCTCTCTCCAAATTAAATGAGTGACGTTTTTGGTGGGCTGGCAGGGTTTTAGTGGGTTTTGGAGCCTACCGGTAGTTGTCAGAAGCCTAGAGCGCCCTCTAGCACCTCTAGTGGCCAAAAAAGATAGTGTTCATGTCAGAAGGAAGGAGAACGGTCATGACTCAGTCAAAAATTGGGTTATTAATATGAGGAAAAATCCATAAGTCGCTTTGCCATATAAGTCACAGGGTATACAAATTAGGCAAAAAGGTGCAACTTATCCGCTGGAAAATACGGTACTTGTACTACTATTCCTACTTTGTGATTTTTCACTTATCGCGGGGCTTCAGGATACGGATCCCCCGCAATAAACGTGGGACTATTGTAGTAGTACAAGTAGTAAGTAGTAGTTTATTTTAGTATTTATATATACAGTATATTAAGGCATTTTAAACCCTTCCCACACTCTTGCAATATTCTAAACAATGTGTCTAAACTCTAAACGCTCTGTGACTTGGCGCTATATAAATAAACTGAATTGAATTAAGAGAGCACAGCATGTCATGATCTCCGCTCTCTGCCACCTGCCAACGCTTTCGGCCACGCCCACTTCTCCACAGCAGAGCGGAGATCATGACATGCTGCAGGAGGGAGCTTCACCCTGCACCTGTGGGCTGCACACAGGTGCAGCAGGTGCTAAATAATTTTAAATAATTCATAAAAAAAAAAAGTCAATGCCGATTGTGCAGCTCATCCATCAATCAGCCAATTGTGTGTCATGTACAATCTTACTTTGAAAAACCATAAAAGAGCAAGTCCGCAAAAGTTGAACCGTGAAGTAGTGAGGGACTACTGTATACATAAATCTGAATATTTACATGACAGTTTAGGGTACCCTCAGAAGATGAACAATGGAGGAACCATGTACACAGAGTGTATTGTGTAATTCAGCTGAGTGAAGACAAAAGAGTGGGTGCTCTGATCCGACTGTCATGCAAGCTCAGCCAATTTATCTTTGAGGTCTGTGGATTGATATACGGAACCAAGAAGCCTATATCCAAAGAGGGGTTCTCAGAGATGCTACAGTTCAGAAGAAGATTAACAGCTCCTGTGTGGCAATGTTTAAAAATATCTGGGGGCCTTCTAGTCTGAATTCTGTTAATTTTCTTTGTTCATATGTGATTAATGCTTTGTAAAATATGTCCACAATTTCAAAATGCTATGAAGCATAATAACATCTACAACAAATTAAAACTATTTTTCAGAAAAACAGCTTACATTGTCTAGAGCATTGATATTGATTCTAGCCTCCAGCAGCAAGTGGGCCACTCTGTCGAAGCCATGCTGGGCAACAAAATGTAGAGCGCTCATGTTCCTCTGCACACAAAAAAAAATGGTCAAAGAAGTAAACAACTCTGCCACCTCGCAGGTTTTTAGCCAAATAGAAGCAGTTTGAATGAGCAGACATACATTAGTTTGTGCATTTACATCCCAGCCAGACTCCAGCAGCAGTTTCACACAATCAAGGTGACCTCCATCAGCAGCCAGGTGTAAAGCTGTCGCTCCATCCTAAAACATGGCACAAGCTTTTAACAGAGGTCCACAAAATCATTAGATTTTATTCAGACAGTAGACATGGCCACACTTTAGTCACACAGTCACAGCACATGCCTTTGGACTTTTTGCAGCTTTTCATGAGTCCAACTGCTGCAGATGATGTGATGTGTGTATTATGGGGTGGGGGTGAGGCACATTTGGTAAAATCAATAAAACACAGCCGCCCTCTTGCTTGATTTGTTGATTTTGCTCTAAGCAGGTATGCAGCAAAAAACGTAAAAGTCAAGAAGGACAATCCCTGTGTTTCTGACTGAGGAGTCAGACTTCTGGCAGCATTAAAAAAACTCCATGTTTTCCCTTAAACACTGTCAGGAACTAGTTGAAGTGACTAAATGTAATTGATCAAATTAAGGTGTCCCCCACCTCTCACAAACTGACTGATGGATATGAGCACCAGTGATTCAAACAGGAAGAAGATAATGGATGACTTACTATATTCCTCTCATCCACATTAGCTCCCACCTCGAGGATCCTCTGCAGGACTTGGGTGTGCCCCCCCTTTGCAGCTAGATGCATGGCAGTGTTCTCCGCCTGTGGTGTAGCCACAACAACACAGACCAAGATATGACAACCAAAAGTCAGTTTTTAGTCAGCTTCCTGTACTGCATGTGGGAGGTGTTATTTTTGCTCAGATGCAAAAAAAAAATTATATATAAAAAAATACAAGTGCAGCTGCAAGGCAACTTTTAAAAGACTCAGCAGAGAGATGAGGCCTTGAAGGTCAACACGCACCAACCACAAGGACACCGACAGACTGACTCCATATGATCTGTGCAACACTGAGCAAACGAAAAAAGAATGTCTCCGAAATGTCAGCACTTGTCATTTTTTTGTTGAATATTTGCATGTAGCTAATAAAACAAAGACGTGAACAAACTTGGGTGTGCTTTCTGCTGTCTGATTAAAAAAACATGTCAAGACAAATATTTACCAAAAGCACATGGAACAAAACGTGGATGTTAATAGTGTGAAGGTAGTCACATTAGTTTTTTAATCTGACTGACCATTTGTTTGCTGAGGACAAGATTCCAGTTTGACCTGAAAGTGAGTAGAAAACTACCTGAACTTCTAGTACTTAGGCTCTACTCGTGGCCAAAAGTTTAGAGAATGGCACAAATTTTGGTTTTCACAAAATTTGCAGCCTCAGTTTTCATGGTGGCAATTTGTATTAACTCTGGATTATGAAGAGTGATCTGATGAATTGTAACAATGCTGCTTGTAGGATAACACTGCAATCAACAGTTTATCAAATCATCAAGTACTGGTGACCCACATCTTTAACCTGTATATAAGACAAAACTCCATCCCAAACGCTTGGAAAACAGCCTTTGTTCTTCCTTTGTTGAAGGGAGGAGACCCCACCTCACTGAACAACTATCGACCAATCTCTAAACTCTGCATTTTAGCAAAGGTTCTAGAAAAACTGATAAACTCTCAAATCAAAAATTACCTGGACTCATTTAACATCTTACCTCCACATCAATCTGGTTTCAGGAAACAACACAGCACAACCACTGCTTCACTGAAGGTTCTTAATGACGTTGTTGAAGCACTGGATGCTAAGGATTATTGTGCTGCACTTTTCTTAGACCTGTCTAAAGTTTTTGACACTGTGGATCATAACATCTTGTGTCATAAGCTCTCAGAAATTAGTTTCTCAGAACACACCATTGGTTGATTCTCTAACTATCTTTCAGATCGAAGGCAATGTGTTCAACATAATGGTACTTCCTCCAGTTATTTAACAGTCAACAATGGTGGTCCACAAGGCTCAGTCTTAGGACCCACCCTCTTTATAATCTACATAGGTAATGTAGGTCAAAACATCCCTGATACATCCATACATTTCTATGCTGATGACACAGTTGTTTATTGTCGAGCTAAAACTGTTGAAAAAGCTTTCCAGCTTTTGCAATCCACCTATGACATCATCCAGTCAGACTTGCTCCGTCTCAAACTTGTCCTAAATGCCAATAAAACCAAAGGGATGCTTTTTTTTTTCAAACAGGAAGTTGGTCCCAGCAGTTCTTCCTCAGATTTTAACCTCAAATGGTGTCCCTATTGAGTTTGTTGATTCCTATAAATATTTGGGTATCTTGGTTGACTCGCATCTCTCTTTTAAGCTTCACGTGGAAAACGTAATAAGGAAACTGAAAGTTAAACTGGGTTTCTTTTTCAGAAACAGATCCTGTTTAACTCTGAATGCTAGGAAACACCTTGTATCTGTGACCTTCCTTCCCTCCATTGATTACGGTGACATTATTTACATGAACGCTCCTACAAGAACCCTGCAGATGTTGGATGCTGTCTATCATGGTGCACTAAGATTCATAACTGGCTGTGATTATCGTACCCACCACTGCACCCTGTATTCACTGGTTAACTGGACATCATTAACTTCACGCAGACTCTCTCACTGGTACAGTTTCATCTTTAAATCACTTCTTGGTCTGTTGCCTTCATACATCTCCTCCTACATGTCTCTGCGTGAGTGCAGCTACAGCGTACGCTCTCAGGACGTTATTACCTGCAGTGTTCCCTCAGTGAGGACTGAACTTGGCAAAAAGGCCTTCTCCTACTCCGCTCCTGTTTCCTGGAATATCTTACAAAAAGACCTGAAGCTCTCGACTTTGATCTCTCTAAGTGGCTTTAAACATCTGTTGGACTCCTGGCAGGGACCAATGCAGACATGTTCCTGTTTTTAGTTTTCTATATCGCCTTATAATTTAGCTGTTTTTTGCTACTACTACTCTTGATTGTCCTTTTGGTTGCTATTTTGTTTTGATTTGTAAAAAAAAAGAGACACTTAAATTTGTATGCCTATTTTATGATTGTCTATTGTTGTCGTTGTTGTCCACTGTTGTCATCACTCTTTGTCTCTCTTGTAAATGAGTCCCCGAGGCTCAATGGGATTAACCAGTCTAAAGGTTGAATGAAAAAAAGAACCTCATGGAGACTGGTTCAGTTGCAGTGAAGAACGCTTCAGGGTGCCCAAGAAAGTCAAGCAAGTGTCAGGACCGTCTCTTAAAGGATTCAGCTACGAGATCGAGTCACCACCAGTGCAGAGTTTGCTCAGGAATAGCAGAGGGCAGATGTGAGTAACACACAGTGAGAAGAAGGCTTTTGGAGGATGGCTTGGTGTCAAGAAGAGCAGCAAAGATGCCACTTCTCTGTAACACAAACATCAAGGACAAACCGATGCTCTGTAGGAAGTATAGGGATTGGACTGCAGAGGACAGGGGTAATGAAGCCCCCTTCCCTTCTGTTTGGGACATCTGGAAAAATGACTGGCCAGAGAAGAAAAGTTGAGCGCTACCATGAGTCCTGTGAAGCCTCCTGCAACCATGCATGTGTGGTATTGCTTCACAATCAGGGGAGTGGTTTAGTGGTTTTGCTCAAAATGTATTACCTAAAGAGGAGCTCCCTGTTCATCACTGGAGGAGACCTACTTTACATGAAGTGGGTGTTCATTTTTATGGCAAACACTATTTTCAGGAGAGAAGTTGCAGATGTGATTGTGTGTGTGCTCCTACCTTGTCCTTCAAAGCATGCTTGCAACCTGCTCCAATAAGAAACTCCACCGCCTCCAGCTGTCCGTGTTCAGCAGCAAGGTGTAGTGCCGTCTTCTCTAACTGCTTAGAGACACAACAGCAGATTACACACAGGTGCCACTGCTCTCACACACTCATAACTGACTCATGTCTAATTTTATTTAAGGCAGCGTTGATTGTATTGGGATAAAACAGCATCACCTTATCAACGCTATCCAAGCTGATCTCCTCCAGGTTCTCCACAATGAACTCCAACACTTTAGTGTGGCCTCTCTGTGCAGCACAGTGCAGCACACTCAGTCCATTCTAACACACACACACACACACACACAATTAGCCTGACATTAACCACCGATCTGATAAAAATCATAGAGCTCTTACTATATTTTCACAGCTGGCTTTGGCTCCACAGGAAACCAGGATCTGCAGGATCTTCAGGTGACCAAACCAGGAGGCCAAAAGCAGAGCGTTCATGCCAAACTATGGGCAAATATTTACAATGAGATTCTGTTACACAGAGAAGAAACTGATCGCAGCAGTGCACAAAGCAGAATATCCAGTTTTTCAGCTGTGGGTTAGAAAAGTGACTGAGATAATGTGAATTTGTCACCAGCAGCCACAGCTTTATTTATCTTTTTATTTATTGTAATTATTTATGTTTGAATACAAGACATTTTAAAATATGTTATGGTACAGTAGGAGGCCATTTCTGTTTTTCACAGTATATTTCTGAGTGGCTGAAGTTTCAGCAAGCTCATTTTTTTTAATTTAGATTAACATTGTGTCCAAATCTTTAAGCTTCATAGGAAAAAGGTGCATCACAGCACCAGCTTACAGTTAACCAAGACGAGTCTCCAGTTGTATTTTTTCAGAAAGCCTAAAGAGGGACTGGCTCTGCAGCCACTTTGCTGCAAAGACCACTATTTTGTGAAAGTGCCTAAAATTATATACAGTATTACTCATTCAGAGCATCTTGTTTTGGAATATTTTCTGTTGTGTCAGTCAAATATTTCCATTTCTGTTTTAATGAATTTTTAAATAAGTGGATGCACATCTGTAACGAATTACTTTTTGGAGTCAATCCAAATCAAGATGGCTGCCACAGCTGATTGAGCTTAGCAAAAACAAAAATGGCTACAACTTAGGTGGTTTCATAGATCTTATTCTTCTTTCAGCTCAGACCTGGACTCCAGAAGAATTTAGCTTGGGGGGGCTGAGGAATATTT